AGTGCAAGGACCAGAGTTTGATCCCCGGTACCCCCATAAAAACAAAAACAAGAACTGAAGAAATAAAAAGGGAAATGTGAGAATTGAGAAGACTCTATCACCTACGTATCCTGGGAACTTTTCTTCCAGCCCCACTCGTGCTGCTCCTGGCCTTTCCTTCAATCAGTCCCCTCCACATGGCCAGAGTGTGTCTCTTCACATGCTCTTTTCACTTAAAGTCCACATTTTTCACAACAGACTTGGAACCTTCCAGAACAAGTCCTGGCCTCTCTCCTGTCCTATCCTCTCACTATGTTGACCTCTTATGTTCTCTGATCACATAGAACGATTTCACATTCTTTCAACTGTACTGTGTTCTTCCAAACTTCAGGCTTGACATGCCCTTAGCAAACCTTTCCTAGCTCACCAACATTTCTAGGCCCAGCTTAGATCTGTGTTCCAACTCCTCATGCTGAGTTCATCAGTCCCCTAATGCTGTCATCATGCACCTTACTCTCTAGGAATCATCATATTCTCATTATTTGTGTAGCATATTCAGACTTTAATTCTCACCAAACTGTGAGCTCCTCAAAACCACTCAAAATGGCTTTTTCTTTTTAAAAAACCTTAGGTATCTGGTTGGGTACTTGTTACTTAGTAGGTCCTCAATAAATGGAGTTGAATAAATGAACCAAGCAATCAGCTTATACTTGTATCTCCAAGCCCGTCATCCAATTTACACTCAGATATTGCTCTCATGCATTCTCTATTTGATGCCATCTGAAAATCATGCTTATTAGTATGACCAACACCTCTGCCTCATAGTCCCTATAGATGCCCTGTGTCTTGCACACAGATTCAGCCCTCATGTTGCAGAAAATAATCTCCTAAAATTGTTAGCATCTAGCACTAAGCAATGAATATAAAGCATCTGATAAGTACTGTTTCATTATGTTGATGACTTATGATAAATTTCTGAAATTCAATTCTCTGTTTTTAAAAAAGAGAGATAATGGTGTCCAGGGTCAAAGACTGGTCTGAATTTCCAGAAAATTCACTTGTTAGAGTGTCAGGGCCATGGATCTATTCACTCCTTCCTGTAGTCATTCTCCATCCATGGCTGCTGGGTGGCCCTCAGAAGCACAAGGATCTACTGCAGGATCCTGTTTGGGGAGGGCCTGATTAGTGACCACCCTGAAGTCAGGTGCAGCCCTCAGGCCAAGACGGAAACACAAGAACCATGCTGTGACACTCCTCTCAGGCCTCCAAAGCCTCAATGGGGGGTGTGACATGGGGGAGGGCCTCCCTCTTCAGAATAGACTCATTCGTGCAATTGAAGCATAATTCAGTTCAAATCAGCATTCAGAACAAACAATAACAGACGACAGCTTTTCATTGTTGCTTTAGCTCTATGAGCAAGATTGTCTACAAAATTAGAGGATAATTATTGTCTACAGTCAGAGGGGAAGAAGTGTCAGAATGAGGCCAGCAGAAGCAATGACCTAGTGGATAATTTATTAGATGTTGAGTGGCTGTTTTTCTCTCTCCAGGCCTCTGTGAGAAAAACATGCAAATGCCACAAGTATATCCCCAGGGAGCCACAGGGTGGCAGGAGCCCAGGTTTCAGGAACATAATTGCCTTTCATTTCCTCTGATTCAGGCTTTATCAAATCTTTTGGCTCTCAAGGCATCCTGCAGCAGGAGTGTGCACAGTGTTCCACACTGCAGCGTGTTTCTGCCATCACTGCAGGGTGGAGTAGTGGTGGGAGAAGGGTGAGGGCCTCCCACCCTGCCCCTCTTTGGGGCCTCAGGGCCTGTAATAGGAGCTGTTTGGACACAGCCCTCACTGGCATTCCTACTAAGTTCTAGGGGGTGCCAACCTCATTGCCTACATTCCAAGCTGATTTTTTTTTCTAGGCTCTGCACCTGCAGGAGATTTGCAAGGTGAGATAAACAAGGAGTACTCATGAGAAAAATCAATTAAACCTTCTTAGGAGAGAACAGTGAGGCTTTGGGGCTTTTGTAGGACTCTGAATGAACATCTATCCATCCATCCACCCAGTAAAGTCCTCTTGTGCTTATTATGCTCAAAGGGTAGGGGGATTTTTGCCCTGAGGTGGCTCACAGCAAAGAGAAGAAATACAGACTAAAAACAAGGTGAGGTGCCTAGAAGATAAAAGATCACTTCCCTCTACTATCAGTCAGGACCCCTAAGGAGACATGGAGATACTCACACACTCCCCAGGGGCAAAGCAACAGCCTATATATGTGGTTCAGTTTTCCAGGAAGATCAACTAAGTGAAAGCTTCTGCTGCCAGGGTTTAGTCTCAGAGAAGGGATTCTAAAACCTATAGTGACTAGCAAAAGCTAGTGGCTGGCAAGGCCCCTGCCTTCTCCCAAGCTCCACTGATCAACACACCCCAGTTCTTTCCATGTGTCACAGCCATACCCAGCCTTGCAGCTCTTTGACACACCAGGCTATTTGTTGTCCTGAAGCTCTGTCTTCCAGGGCCTGGTCTGCTTGAGAAGACCTCCTCAGCAGCTTCCAGAACCCACTTATCTAGAGACCTCCAGGCAGATTGGACCCCTTGCATCACTGTTTCCTATACACATTTTCCTTGCCCTTACATCCCAGAGGGGGCATGTGATCACAGGACAGTGAGGGGGGCATGTGATCACAGGACAGTGAGATCTACTTTGAGAGCTCACTCATCCTTGGATCTCCAGTGTCTAGAACAAAAGCAATGAAATGTTTTGAAAAGCAATCTGTGTTGGATGCTCTAGTATCTTCTTGTCAAAATATTCTTTCTTGTATCTCTCTCATTTTCATTCATTCAATTTCAGACATTTATTGAGAACCTGCTGTGTGAATTATATAAGAATTATAATCAGTTCACCTGCCATAGTTTCTTCTCTTAAGCTTCTAAACTAGTATCTTAAAATTGCCTTTGAGGGGAGTTCTAATAGTGCACATTCAAGTCGTGGGGTGAATTGCAGAAAAACCGTTGTATTGTATATTTATATGAGTGGGTTTTTTTGGGTTTTTTTTGTACCAGGGATTGAACTCTGGACCTTGCACTTGCGAGGCAGGCAGTGGAGTATGAGTAGTTTTTTCTAAAAAAGAAAACCCTTTTGTCAAGCTCTCTCATGGCTGAGTAAGTAGAGTCATGCTCATTTCTAGTCTAGGGAACTGTGGGAAGCAACACAGTTCTAAAATCCAAACTGTATATCTTCTTGAGCTCCTGACTCAACTTCGAAACAGGGATGGGTGTCAAATGGCATCAGTGCCTCTCAAAGAGTTGTAAGTGGCAGTCAGCCACTCCTCAGTGTGACTATTCCTCTGTGTATGAATTTCTCTTTTTCCTTTTTCCTCTATCCGTTTGCTATCTTTTTCTCCCTTCCTGTTCCCTGTTTCTGTTGACTTTACCCTTTCAAACAAACACAGCCTTGGGCATTGCTTAGCATCTGCCACTGAGCTCTAGAAAGCTTTGCTCCCTCTTTGTTCCCTGGTGGATTGAACCCAGATTTCAGAGTATAGCATGGAGAAGGGGCAGGAAGGACAGAACTGGTCCAGCCTCTGTGTCCCTCTGCTACTTACTGTCCCATTTACACTAGACCCTCTGAACTGAACCAGTAACTCAGGCCTGGGCCACAAATAAGGAAGGACTCAGAAAAGGGACACCTTCTTTTTTTCTGGTTTAAGCAGAAAAACTAACCATATGCTCAGCTTTGTACAGGTTCCATAAGAGGCCTGGGAACAGAGGCTGGGCTCCAGCTCTGATTTCCTTCACACTGTGCAAAGCCAGGGACCAGAAACAGAAGGGTGGTGCTTGCTTTTCACTCATTGCATGCAGAAGTTTCCCAGCCCAAATTCAGTTTCCCAAAACCTGCTCAGGAAGCAGTGAATCTTGACTGATGCTGATTTATTATAGGAGAGGAGAAAAAGAAATGGCAGCCTTAAAGGTCAAGGCAGAAGAAGTGTAGCTGCCTGGAAGGGAGCCCAGATATTCTCTGGGTACAACACACAACTGGGCTTCTCAGGCCTGGAGGGACCAGGAGCCAATTCAAGTGGGAGGTGTCAGAAATGCAAACTCGGCTGTATACTCACCAAGTTAAAAATGTCACAAACAAGGCAGGGAAGAATGTGAGGGGAAGGGAGCCTTCTGTTTTGTGGGAGGCAGGTTATGAAATGTTAGAATCACGTTTGCTCTCATGTGTCTGCTTGTTGCAAGTCCAATATGCAACCTGCTGGAACCCAGGAGAACTGATAAGAACTTGACATCCAGGAGCCTAATCCAACTCCATGGAATTCTTCCACCACCTTCCCATGTTCTAGTGGACTGTCCTGCAACTATGGCAAGAGCAATTTGGAGAGCAAGTCAATCTAGATATGCCTAATGAAAGTGAGTTTCCAAAGACAGTGTTTGTCTGGCTGACAGCTGACGAGGAGTCACTGGGCCTGCATCTGCTCAGAGAAGTCCATGTGGTGCACAAGAAAACTCCAACCTTGCTCCAATTTAGCATTGTTTTTAAAGACACTGAGTCCTCTTCTCTATTCCTCATCTATTCTGTCCTGCTGCAGGGTCTTCCTGGGTTTATAGGAGATGAGATTATTCCAATCTGAAGAACCCTATCATTGTTTCTGACAGATTCACAGTCTTCCGGGCCAATGGCCCAAAAGGGGCAAAGCCCAGCCTAGAAAAGCACAGCTGCCAGTCTTAGAAGGAACCTGGCTATGTTGAAAGCCCATGCTATATTAAGAGGTACTCTGGAGAGGTGGGAACTGGACCATGGTCTTAGTTTTTATTCCTGAAGAGAGTATCTGTGTATACATGTTTCTTGAGGATGTGATCCTAGCGAACACATTGTGGACTGAGGAGGCAAGACACAAGAGGGCAAAGCCAATAAAAGGTGTGTTAATGTGTAGGATATGACAGAGAATGAGGCCCACAAAAGACAAGAAACTGTCAAACATGCTGCAATTGTCCTACAAATGGGCAAAAAAGCTGAGACATTTTTTCATCAGCTCCATTCTTTATTGGCTAAAAATTGCTCTAGGCATCTTTAATGTTGAGTCTCCTCTGAACTGCTCCCTGTTGAGCCTCAACAAACTTCTTGTGGCCAGACAGGAGCTCCAGGCTGAGATGTTAAAGCTGGATGATGTGTCTGTGAAGCTGAAGATGCTTTCCAAGAAAATCTGCACCATCCACCCTTTCACCTGTTCATCCATCCACCCATCTATCCACCCATCACCCATCCATCCATCTATCTGTGACAGTCACTGTGGGAAGAACCACTCCTCCTGCCTGATGCCTATGTGTGTACACAAGTGCACCTACACAGACATACCGCCCCACCTCCTTCTCTTTTGCACTGTCCTCCCACATCCTCATAAACAGTAAGCTCCTAGAGAGCCTTAGCCCATTCAGCCTTGCTTTGCCATCCAAGCAGGTGGAAACAGCACCTGCAGCTTCCCAATGCCTGACTACTCACTGTAAATCCAGGCCAGCTCTTGGCTCCTGCCCAGCTGGAAGGGCTGAGACTTGCTTTGGCTGTTTTGTATAAGCCTTGCTAAAAAGAAACATGGAATAATGGAAAAAACTGGAGCAGATGTCAGGAATTTGGGGCTTCATGTCTCAGTCCCACCCATAATTTATTTAGTTGGCTCTAAGGAAGTTAACTAAACTTTCTGGAACTTAGTTTCGTTATTAGTGAAATTAGAGTAACAACACCTGTCCTATGTACTTTAAGTTTAAGAAAGACTCAGAGGAGCCAATTCATGTACCTAGAAGCAACTTCACAGGTTAAAAAACAAACAAACAAACAAACAAAAATGCTCCATTTGGACCCTAATCAGGCCCAGCCTGAGCCTACTTACATTGAGTTTAAGGAAGCAGGAGTCTTGCTGCTTACCTCTAAAAGCCTTCTTTCCCCTGTCCAAGCTAGTACCATCACTGGTCCCTATTAATATATGGGAAGTGTGTTGCCTCTTCCACCATTCTGCCCTTGGAGCACAGAATGCCCTCTGATCTAAGTCTTTCTTTGCAATAGGTCCAGGAAGACCAGGCTGAGACCTGGCCATCTGGAGGCACACAGGAAGTCCTCTTGGAATGGCACATCAGGCTCCCTTGCTGCCTAGGGTATGCCAAATTCCCTAGTCTCTTACTTTGCTTAAACAGCAAATTTCTGAATCACTATAGAAAGTAGTGGATGGAGCGATACTACTTCCCTAAGATATTAATAGGAGCCAGTGAGGGCACCAGTAACTGTGCTTGGTATGTGTCATTAAACCCTTTGTGATGTCAAGAGAAGCAAGTGTTGGCTAGACCTGACCCCTCCAGCTAAATCCAGGTATGCTTGTCCGTAATTTGGAAAGGGATAAAGGATGAACATGGAGCTCAAGTGTTTAAAAAGAGAACTATTTGTTCTGATAAAGGACTTCAGGTTTATCACACAATCAGATACTAAGGATAATGTTCAAGTCCTCCTAAAGTCCATAAAAATGGCAACAATGCCCATTAGAATATTCTCTGTGGGCCCAGCCTATACATCCTGAGGGAAACATGCTGGGAGAGGGGTGCTGAGCCCTTCTACAGAGGTTCAAAAAGAAAAGAACTTATCATCCAGTTCAACACAGTGAACACAGTGACATAAAGTGACTCTATGGGACAGAGAGTAGGAGGGAGAGAGACTTGGAGAAATGCTACACAGTTCCCAGAATAGATTCCCACATAAACCTGAAGAATACTGTACTAATGGAGAGAAGCTACTGCTTGTCCTCTCTTAAAAGCCAAATACTATCCTCCAGCTGGAACAGAGTTGTTCTTGGCACTTGGAAGTCAACGTGAGGAGGGAATCCAAACATGATGCCTGAGAAAGTAATCCATAAGAAATCTGAAGGCAGGGACATGGTGAAAAACAACAAAAGAAAATGGATGGGTGGTAGAACAAAGATTAACTGTACCAGAGGAGGTGGCCCTTTGGTTTTTAAAATAGGAGTGGGCAGAAGTCAGAAGTGGGGCTGGGTCAACTGAGTGGCGGACACTTTAAGTGGCAGATACTCCAAGTGGCAGACCCCTCCACTCTGAAGACTCCAAGAAAGGTACCTGCCCAGCTGCATGGTGGCCCCAGCACGAGCTGCTGGAAGCTGAGGCCCCAGTTCTGCTGCCTTCTTGCGTTAATCCTGGAATTCCAAAGCAGCAAGGTTTATCTTGTGATGCAAAAGCTCTTCCCTTGTGAACAACTGATATGGCTTGTGTCTAGATGTCCTCCCAAAGCCTCATGCCCTCATAAGTGGGGCTTCTGGGCAGTGGCTGGATCATGGATGTGTGATGCTGGATTAAGGTGTGTGATACTGAGATTAAGGGTGTATAAGTAGATTGGTTTAGCATAGTTCTGAGTGTGGATAATGGTAGCCCAGCCTTGGGTGTGGGTGACAACACTCCAAAGGCTTATAGTCTGAATGAGATAAAAGGGAAAGGGAGGCTTGCTGCTGCTGCTCTACCATGAACTGTATCTCCTGTGCTCTGCCACTCTGCCTTGGAACCAGCCCACTATGGACTGAAACCTCTACACACTAAGGCAAAATTAAACCTTTCTTCCTTTAACTTGTAGGTGATGGTGATTTTGTCTCAGCAATGAGGAAAATAACTAAGACAACAACCAACACAGAAAGTACTGGAATCTGGTAGAGCACTCTTCTTGCCTCCACCTTTAACACTGAAACTGCCTCCTAGGGACTTTGACAAGTTTGACAAGTGGCAAAACAATTCAGAAGTTTCTTTGCTGGCTGATGATAGGGCACAAACATGCTGCTGGTGATTATAAAATGAAACTTTAGATTACAGGCTGAAATATCAGGTTTCTTTCGACTCTTTTCAAATCTAATCCCCTTGCCTAATAACCTCAATCTACTGCATTTGTGTAAATACTCAGTTTTCCACGGTGGTAGGAACAGCCATCGCACACCATCCTTTCCAGCCAAAGGCACCATTGTAACTTCATGAATCACCAAGCAGGGTCAGTCACACTTGCCCAACTTCAAAATCCTTGACTCATGGGTGACTCATCTATACCAACACTCACCATTTACACAGCACCTTTCTCAGGTGGCCCAGAACAGTTTTACAAGCTGCTTGCTCATCCCTCATCATGCCTCTTGGAGGTAGAGGAAAAGGCGGGGAAAGGGGAAGGGCAGTAAGCCTCTGCATTTTATATGGGAAACTGAGGCTCAGACAACCCCTAAAGTAAAATGTATAGACAATTATGAATCAGACACTATCTGAAAAGAGCCAAGATTAATGAGCTTTTCTGGATCCTACATGGATTATTCTTGTAAAAACAGTTTCATGCAGCTGTTCTGACACAGCTGTTTTGATACAGCACCCTGTAAAGAGGTGAACCAAAATGCACACCCACTGTATTCTACATACCCAACTTTCTGCCTCTCATTCCACCTGTGACCTTGTCCTGCCTATATACTTGATTAACCCTTTTTGACTTTAGAGGCATCCTAACCTTCCTGGCCCCAACCTGCTCCTAATTCTGATGATCACTTTATTTCTGACACTGCATTTTTGAGCATTACTTGGTTCCTGATATTTCTCCCATTTTCAGCCTCTGCCAATCCTTTCTTTCACCTGTCCCCAATCTATATATCCTTGATGCCCAACATGGGATTTACAATGGTGTGAAGATCAGGGTTTAGTGTTACTTACGGATGGAGTATAAAATACCCATTTTACTCTTTTTTTTTTAAGCTGGTCATTTATCAGCTAAAGTTTTTGGCCAAACCAAAATATCTTCACATCAAAATAGCTGCAGTAAAATGTCTCTATTAAAATAGCTGTTTCCAAAGAATGGAGACTCCAGATGTCAACTGCTTCTGCACCTGACTTAGGTCCTCTTCTGTGTGGCTTTGCCTTTTGTTCTGCTGTATTTTGGTGTGGGTTCATCAGAACAGGAGTGAACACCAGGGCTGCTTTTTATCCTGCTGTTCCAAGCAAGGACTACGTAGGTGTTGCAGATGAAACTCACACAGAAGCCAAACAGGTTGCTAATGGCATGGCCACGTGTTACCATCTCCCCTTGAGGCAGCCTGGCTGGCATCAGTCCTCTCTCAAGCCTTCTTCCTGCCCCCCTCACCCACAAGCTCTCCTTGGGTCAGAAATGCAATTCTTTGATGGTGCCAGACACCCAGATGATGCTGGAAAGAAGAAAGTAAAAGAAAAAGCAGATTTCTAAATTAAGCACAAGGCTTGTTTATAAAAATAAATAGCCACCGCCTAGCAACAAGCTCACAGCTCAGCTTCCCTCAGTGATGAAACCTTTGTGGCTGGAGCCCAGGGTGACACAGCCTTCAGAGTGCTCCACACCCAAGCCCCTCCCATGCGTAGTACTCATCCAGGAACCACAGACAGTGAGTCTTGAAAGGCCTTGCTCTTCACTCAAGGCCAACCAGAGCCAGGCTCCAAAGAGCAAAGGGGAGGGAGCCAAACCATCCTAAACTTAGTGAGGACCCTTGAACACCAACAGATTCTTGGCAGTTACTAACCCACTGAAGCAGAAACAGATGAAGTTCCTTGAGCTGTTCTATGGAACCAGAAGCTCTTCCTTGAGATTATTATCTTCTATGCTCACCACTGGATGCCTAATATGGGCACTTAGTTACTATGTGAGGGAAGACTGGAGAGAGGTGTGAATGAATAAATGAATGAATGAATGAATGAATGATAAATACTGTAATCTCATCCATCATCCATGCTACCCAAACTTGCCACCCTAAATGCAGTAAGCTCCAAATCCAAAGAGAGGCATCTTTCTCCTAATCATGGTATGCACCAAAGAGATAAGGTCTTCTGGTTATATGATTAGGTCTGAGCCCACAGCTGAGTCAAGTACCCATAGGTGAGTAGAAGGCACAGGCTCTTTCTGCCCAGGTGCAGGTGGTAAGGGAAACAGAGGGCATAAGACATGCTATTGGTAATAATTGCTCATTTTCCTGAAACTTCTCTTGTACTTTAGGCAGCAGCATTGTAATGAGGAGGTGTTGCTAAACAGAAACACTACAGGACAGAGCAGTATATGAGCTTTTGTTCTAAATCCTATTGGGACACAAAATGTGGAGCCCAAAATGGCCTTGGAAACTGAACAGGTCAAATAAACTAGGAATGGGCCATAGTATGGAAGATTTACTTCTGTCACCAACCTCCAAGTTATGAAATGATTATGTAGGGTTCTGGGTGATCCTAAGATAGCCCTCAGTATGCTGAAAATGTGACCATTCTGAATCCTGTTAGGATGCTAGTGAGGTTGGAGGAGACAGTGTGGCTCCACCTGGATTCCTGGGCACAGTTACTTCTGTGATGTTCCACATGTCTCCTTGTGACCAGAAAGTGGGCAGGGAAAGTATGTCAAAGTCAAAAATCATCATCTCAGAGAAGGGCTCCTTGGTTATAAATATTAAAAAGATCAAAGAAATTGGCTTAGGCATCACTCAAAAATCTATCTTTAGGCATTCTCATCTGGCTTGGCCAGAAACAAAAAAACCACATCCGTGTCAGTGAGAAGGTTCTTAATTAAATTCAAGTGTGCAAGAATATATTATGGGTCTATTTTGGGAGTAATAATAAGTGTAGGGTACAAAAACTTCTAAACAGCAGCAAAAAATGGTACAGTAACACCCAGTTTCACATAACAGCACACAACAGGAAAACACCAGTCCTCATAGACTCCTCTATTATTTCTACCCCACAGCCTCCCAGGCAAAAACCTGGTATTGGAACATTTAGAAAGATACCTGATTAGGACAGAGGCCCAGCAGAGCCAGCATTCAGACTGCAGGCCACCTGCAAATCTACTGTGTTGTCTCTTTGGTGGGGCCAAAGGAAGCCCCTTCCCGAGCAGAGCAGGCCAACCACAGCTGCAGGCTTCTGCTCCAACCTTCTGCTCCAACCTGCAGAGGCATAGTGTGTTCCATGGGTCTTACCACTTTCTATGCAGGGCTCCCACTTCTTACACGGCTGCTCAGCAGTAAGATTCCACTGACCCCACCCTCTTTAGAAGTTACAGAGATTTATGAAAAAGGAGTCCACACCCAAGAGTCCACTTGAAAACTCAGCTTTCTCATCCATAACATGGGGACAGTAGAACCTATGCTTTCTGCCTCTCAAGATTATGTCAAGATCAAATAGGACATTATTATATTCAAGTGCTTTTCAGTCTGAAAGCTATTGTTCTGGGTAACAATGTTTTATAAATTATAAAAGCACACAATGAGAAATTTGCTTCTTATTTGAGCTGTGAAACCTCCTCTGTTGCAAATTTTTAAGCACTGGTCTTCACTGCTGTGGGGTTTGTTCCATCCTATTCCTAATCCTAATTTTTGTGGGGACACCTGGCCAATTCCTTGACATCACATACCAAAGACTTCTAACATTTATTGATAGTATTTCTGTAATTATTCTCTTTTCATACAATTCTTCAGAAAGGGCTGGAGTTGTAGTATGCATTAGGAATCTTTCCGTTCCCATAGACCTTCCTTTAACTTTCCAGTGGAAGCACAGAGGCAAGAAAGGCTGGACATTTGTCAAAGGTCACCTATCAAGTTGCATTCACCCTGTCCTTGGCTCCTCTTGTAGCCTGGCAGCTCTCCAGGTTTTCTAGGGCCACAGTTCAAATTCCACTCTTCTGGAGCTGGGACATTCATTTTCTGCTAGATACCAGAGCTCCAGGCTTTCAAGCCTTTTGACTCCAGGGATAACAGCAACAGCTCCCTAGCTTCTCAGCCTTTGGCCTCAGACCGATTTACTCTTCCACTTTCCTGGTCCTCCAGCTCACACATGACCCATTTTGGGACTTCTCAGCCTGCATAATTGTATAAGCTGATTTCCATAAAGATATATATATGTATGTGTGTGTGTGTGTGTGTGTATATATACATATGTATATGTATGCGTATATATACATATCAGTAATCCATCAATCAATAGGTAGGCAGATGCATAGATACATAGGATAGGATGTTGTCTGGAGATCCCTGGGTGGTATTGATTTGGGGCGCTTCCTTACCTACTTAAGAGGCGTATTTCCCCACTTTTGAGTAACTATTAAACTCAGTGTGTTGTTTAGAATATGGAGAGGAAGAGCTGGAGTATGGTTGAAGGCAAGTGGCTGTTAAAGGGCAGTTATGAGAACAGTCATCTCTAGTGGTCATGGTGCCCCAACTTCATAGACTACAACTTTAGAACATATACCATTCAGCTTTGAAAAATAAATATATAATTAATTTTTGTAGTTACTTTTTCTTAATTTTCATTCTCCCAGAAATGAGAGATTACATTTATGCAAAGCATAGAAGTTTTTAATAGAAATTATTGTCAAGTTATTTTAGAACAAGAAGGTGGCGAGGATTCTTTGGTAATTCTTCCACCACCAATCACCTTCCTTTCAGCAAATGACCTTATATTTATCCAGTAGAAACCCTGAGGCGATTTTATAAGAAATTCTCCCCTTTTGACCCTACATCTACCCTACTCATATGAGGCAAAGTACCATCTCCCTCCCTGTTCTCCATTCTATTTACGCAAGTGAATAAGAGTCTTCATTCTATCTGTGCCGGGGCTAAAGTGACAAACATTCTGTTTTTCTCTGGCCCGCAGGGATTCCTGGGACACAGGACTTCTTGTGCTAAAACTGGGAATGTTCCAGGCAGAAGAGGACAAGTTTGTCACCTTAGTAGGCCCTGTGCCCTCTCCCCAGGGGCCTTTCCAAACAAATAACAAATCATGATTGAATGAATTGAAATTAAAATTTTACTAATCTGCTATGTGAGATTGGAGGTTAGAAAGAACTGGAATGGATAAATAAATGAATGGTACTGATTTGTCATTAATGAAAAGATCCATGAATAAGGTGGAAAAACCCAGGAGGATATCCTACTATCTGATGGGAGAAAGAGCAGAAAACTTACATTATAAGATTAATGCAAGGGTTATACCCCACTCACCAAAAAGAGGAAGGCTTGATGCTAAGTCAGAGAAATTCATATAATGTAAGAAACAGAGCACAATGATGCTTCCCAATTGTTTAAAATTTATGGTATATATATTACACACACACACACACACACACACACACACACACACACACACTGTCTGTGACATAAGATGTAACTAAAGGAGAAGCTACTTATGGGCAGAAAGTGACCCAGCCCGAGGACTGAGCAGGCAGTCCAGTTTCACATTGAACCCACTGACCACACAACACTATGCCACTTGAGAATATTTTAACTGTATAATTACGGTGGTACAAGTCTAGACTCCATAACAAATCTGAAATCTTAATCCACATTATCCCTAGGTTTCTGATAAAACTAGTAAACCCTACATATGACACAATATTGCAAAACTTTCTCAGAGGGCATGTCCCAAAATAGAACTGGTGTGGGTTCCTGTTTCCATTTCCTTGGCCCAGATTTTCCCCGACACATGTACAGAGTTGCAGGTTGAACAATGATTGAATGACCTTGGTTGAAAAGGAAGTAATCCCTGACCACATTCAGCCCACATGCAATTGCCCTGTACAGTTTTGGTTTTTTAAAAAAATAAATTTAAAGAAGATACCATCAACAATGTAAAAATTCATAACTTTCTCAAAAAATACAGTTTAGCTGACTCTCTTCCCAAAAAGGAGACAATCAAGCACTTGGGACCAGAAGGTCCCCAAGGTCACAATCATATGAGACTGATGGCCTGAACAGTACAGCTGATGGGTTTGCTGGTTGACAGGGTTCAAATCCCATCTTTGCTACTTGCAGGTAATGGTGGTCATGAACTTAACTCAGTTCTTATTACATATTTATAGATAGTATGATTTAAACTCATACTATTTATTTTATGTAATTTTATGTATTTTTGAAATAGTGACTAGCACATAATAATCATTTAATAAATATTGATGGTTGTCAACACAGTCACACAGATAGCTTTGCTATGTTTTTTAACCTTCCTGGTTCCATGAGCTTAATTGCTAGTCTAGATAGTTCAAATAAATGCCTTTGGAAATGGTGACATGTCAAGTCA